TATCAATGACAATCTACATCGATGAGATGAAAATTGTCCCTAAGTTTAAGGGTTGAAATTATGCTGTTTTAATCTTTTGTGGATTGCTATCCGAGTAAACATAGTTTTTGCTTTTAATTATTGAGCTTAAAGCGTTCTTAATTTTAACACGAGACCAATCGAGTGAAAATGACCTATTAACAAACTGACGGCTGTTGCTTTCACTTCACTATAAATGCAATTATTTACAGCCTTTAGATCTCAAGGAAATCTTTCAGTTTAGAATATTCTTTCTTTAATGAATATTTTAATTTTAATCTACTAATAAACGCAAGTACATTATACAGTGGATTTTGTTAGATTTTATCGTTCTGACTAATCTTTCGTTATATTTTAATTGGAATGTTTTTCGATAAATTGGAAATTGATAATTGGAAAGATAATTTTCAAAATATCGAATGATTCATCGAACGATTAGACTTTGAGAAACACAGTGTTTTGACACAATTGGAGAAAGAATAAGAATGCAAGGGATTAAACCGTGTCGATCAAGATCAGTTTACAGTACTCGTTATCGTGAAGAAATTGAGAGTTACAAATCCGGGGAATGTGCTTTTATTTCTATCGTCGTAATACCGTGAAAACCGATTTGGCAACGTCTTTGCCTTGCCAGTTTGGCGATCGTCCACGATCGCCACATAAATAAGACGCGATATTATATCTCGTTTAACCACTTCCTAACAGGATTTCATTCGGGTAAACCGATTAGAACCACCAACTCAATTGATACATCTGCGGTAATAAAAGTTAGCATGAATTCTCACCTCGTTTCGTCAATTATCGTTCATAAAACGCGTATCTGTATTGTATCTGACACAATAATGAAATAACGAGGTAGAAAAGAGTTTATAATGTTAGTGACGTTCCTCGATCAATTTTCTGTTCTATTCTTTTCAATACAATAAAGCCATTTAAAATTTTTGACGAAGCGAAAAGTGTTTCGATATTTAGATTAGTAAGTTTGCTAATGTGAAATCGGAAATCATTAATGGAGACTTGTTTTGATCTTTATCGTCCTGTTTCGATGACGTGCTTGCCGATGTTCGCAGAGAAGGGACTGACCTAGAAAATCACCTAATGAAATGTAATCAGACAAATCGGTAAATATCGTTCTGTTCATACAAAATATCTACGAACGGGAAATTAAGAGCAAAGAAAGCAGCCGATTTAGATTTTTCCTGATTTTCTTCAATTTTATTATTAATTTGAAATAAGCTTCTCAATGAAGTAGAAGTAGAACAAATATGTGCTCTTGATTGCAACTGCTATTTTGTTGTAAATAGCAGGTAATAAAGCATTGCAATGTTATTCCTTTGATTCTTTCTTTTTTTAAATGCTACTTCATTTTGAAATATTTCTCCTATCTTCTTTGTAACAAATTCGCTCAGAGAACACATATATAGTAATTAAAATGTGTAGACACATTGATATTTTCATTTTGGATATTTACAAATGTGTATTATAAGATTAACTGATAATTCATTTAATTCATTTAATTGAATGTTTGATTTTGATCGTTGCTCCACATGTATTGATAACAAATTGTCAAGCAGAGTTGTACCATATGTTCAAAAAGCCGGAAATTAACCCCTAAACTGTAAAGGTGGGTGTTTCATGCTCGAGCTATTTCAACCGGATTGAGTTCCTCGCAATGTAGGAGGCAGGAAGCTTTTTTCCCCGCCTAAAAGGGGTTATTTGATAAAAATTTTATGATAACCCTAATTTAGGACGTTTGAAGATGTTACGTGAGTTTTTCTATTTTTTAATAAGTATTTCCACTGAAAAACGTATCGTACATGAAAGACCAATGTTTACAGTTTGAGGATACCGTAAAAACTGTTTAAGGGTTAATTGCCAGAAGCTGAAGATCAACGTCAAGCATGTTTTAATCTTGTTCACTGATAAGTACAGTTACCTATGTGTTATACACAAGAATCAGTAAGAGAGAGAGAGAGAGAGAGAGAGAGAGAGGGGGAGAGAGAGAGAGAACAAATTAATATTAATATCAAAAATTAGTTGCAACATGAATAGTGATTGTTATCAAACATGTATTCCGAATAGTCGATTATTTAATTAATTAAAATCGTACGTACGCAATTTCATGTATGTTCATTTACATGTGAATTTACATATCAATTTACATTTATTTATTTTTATATAGTAGATGCGTCAATTGAATCACAAAGTAACAATGAAATTTCATATGTGTTGCGTTATTTCATCTCAAATATACGATACTGTTTCATTAGTTATTACAGTTCGTTACAACCAAAAGACCCGTAACATGTGTCATCACCATTTTAAGAGAGCATCCTAATTTTTCTCATTTAAGCTCGTCGATCAATAATCATTTCTCCATTATCCCTTTTAATCAAGCCGAACAAACAGCCAATACTCGAGTTACCGTTAATGAACACATGACGATCGCACAGAAAAAAGGGGAAAAAAGAGCAGAGAAAAAAAGAAAGCTAGGAACAACATCGAGGTACCGATAGCTGACCAGGGAAAATAGACTTTAGACCAACGTTCGAAAGATACACGAGATACGTCTGCTTTCGTCGTACTCGAGTGAAAAGGCAACCGACAAATTGTTAAGTCAATTTAATTGCGACCAGCTCGGTCTTTTCTATTTACAAACGCACTGGTACAGTGTTCACACACAGTGAGATTGAGCGAGCGAGAGAGAGAGAGAGAGAGAGAAAGAAAGAAACACGCGAAACGAATAGCTGATGCTCGACATAGAGAGGACAAATCCGCAAGTACACGCGGCAAACCGGGAGAAAACACGTTCGTCTCTCGCACGTGGATAGAACAGAGAGACGCAGTCTCGAAATTCAATCGAAATCAAAGGGACGAGGTTTATTGAAGCGTATGGGGAAAGCCCAGCGAGCTCTGATGATTCCTTGCGGTTGGAAAATGTTTCGCGTCGCGGATCGATCGATCCATCGATCTTATCATCGAAGGATTGCAATTTCGCCTTAGTTCACCTCTAGGGACGATGCGTGTTTCCTTCCTTATCGGTTTGTATTCCTGCGCGACGTGTTGCGAAACTCTGCAAGAATCGTTTCCCTGTGAAACTCCATCTCCTCGTCTCTCTCTGCTGTGCGAGAAAGCATTGCATTTGCGCCAGATCGTGACTTTGACGAGCGCCATTTCGCGTTTTCTCGTTTTGCTACGACTTTGTAAGATTTATGGACTCCGTATCGAGGGGTCTAAGGTGAATATCTAAGATGGTTAAGAAAGTTAAGGGTAATCTCGTCGATCTACGTAACGTTGAACTTTCCATTCTTCTATTTTTGGATGCAAAGTAAATTATAATTCTTCTGTTCGAAATCGTATGATTAATCAGTATGATTTTAAGGGGAAACCTGATATTTATACGAATTTCTAGAAATACGAATAATAGATGCTCGTTACAATTAGCTTTACCAGTGTCGCAGATTAGCTCAGTTCGTTGTCCTGTGTTCAGTTCCAGGTTGTTTGAACTGCACGTCTAAGTCACAATGCCATGGAATTCATCTTGAGGCTCACTGTACCTGTTCGTAGTCGCGCTAGGGAATTCCAAGGGCGTTGGTCAGACTTAATGGGCCTAATGGTGTTTCCCATGCGCCGTTATTAGTCGCGCCTCCACTGACAATTTAGTAGTTACTAACGTCACGATTATCAAAATTTATCGGTGTTTCGTTCGCTCGAATACCCGACGTTGGTTTATAGTCCGTTCCTTTACGCTGTTACGTGCTTTGCTACACTATATGGCAAGTGTTCGGAAAAGACATTTCCGACAAGGACTGAATCTCGTATTTAAGTGAAACTCTGATTATGATTAATTTTTATGATGCTGCTGAGTGCTTTACGGTAATTGTTTACCAGGGTGCATCTACAAGAATAAATGAGAATCTTTCTCATACTGGAGATTATATGTGGTGAAAGAGGAGGGTGGAAATGCAAGGAATACTTAGGTGGTATTTATGAGAGAATATTTAGATTCGGTAGACTTAAATAAAAATAGTAAGTGGAAATTTTAAAAGATGTTGAGGTATTTTATAAAGATACGTTGAGAATTTAATAGCCTCAGGGATACAGGCTGTATTTATACACTGTAACAATCAAACTGCTAAGATTAAAATTAAAGTAAATCTTATTTAGCACTGCTTACAATGTATAATAATCTATAGTAATTTCTGATGTTTGTTAAAAAGAGATCTATTCGACTGTTAGATCACTCATTAATATTAAGCTGTTAGTTGGGAGAAAACTACGGGGAGTTAACTCGTCGCGTGAATTTGTTATTCTGGGCATAATAATTTCTTCATTTAGGAATTTCCAACATTTTTACCGACCTAATTTACATTCATTTGCCATTAATAATTTCTCATTTTTTAATTATAAAATTGTTTGTTCCTTGTTAACGGATATTTACACTTACACACACTATTATTAAATTACGGATTAAGCATCCTTCATGGTAGATCCACTTTTGTCACAGATCTGTTTTACCTCAACTACTGAAGTTAATATATATCGATTATTCACATTATGAGTAACTCGATAGAAAATAGTGAAAATATCGCGCGGAGGCGAAGTAATCTTAAGCGAAAGACGGATGACGAATTTCGAAGCAACTTCAGTCAAGCGGAAACGTTGAATTCACTTGCTGCTTTCAGCAGAGTACAGAATGTATATAAGTTTCAAGACATCAGGCAGCAGCGAAGCGCCGAGAACTATCGTCATCAATTATACTTGTATAAAGTTAATACGTACTGGCATAAACTATCTCGATTGTAAATTACAGTTTCACGATGCTTTTCGTATTTACATTTATGTATTTACGCATTAGAAACGTTTCGTTATTGGACATTCTCTCCTATCCTCGAAGAAAATTATTAGATATGAGAAAGTTATTGGATATTTTCTCCTATTGCCGTGTTCATATAATTTTCGAATTTTTAATCGATACTTACGGCATTGTTATGATTCCAAAATATGTAGGCTGGCGGCTCTGGACTTAGGAGAACCACACACGTCAGATTGATCGTGCTACCTCGATTGATGTATAGGTCTGGTGCACCCAGGATTTCAGTTTTTGGTACTGAAAAATAAAGTGACAAAATTATTTTTAACTGTTAATTCTCGTATGATTGTTATATAGAGTTTCTTTATAAAAATATTATAAATACAATTACTTCTTCAATAATTCTCATTTTATTCAGAATCCATTTAGTAGCTTTATAAAATTCAAACGACAAACTAAACCCTACGAAATATCATGCTATTCAATATAAATCAGTAGCAATAACAGTTAAGGAAAGAATAATTTCTCTTTATATCCTTTATCGCAAAAATTCATGCCATTATTTCAAGCACAAAGTACTACAAAAATGAACAAAAAGTAAAATGCGGGTAAAAGCAAGACTCTTTCTTCCTCGAAAAGACGATACATTGGCTGTTAGTAGCGCAATCTTACTAGCTCAGAACACACGAATTATTTTTCCGGCGAACTTTTACATCTCGTAATAATATCTCTTATTATCCTTAGTTCCTTTTAATGTCTGCTATAAGTTACATACTACATCCGTTTAATACGCAGGCTCGTACTTCTTTGACAATTTGTATTATGCTTAGCCATAATCCTTCATGAGTATCCAGGCTTTTGTCTATACGTCAAAACTTGCGTTCTACACCTCAGTTCACAACTACGGGAACGTGAGAAGCAGGATAAATTGCATCGTCATTCTTTAATCAGTTCATTCAACTAAGATTTAGAAGACATAGTTCTAACCTCCTTCTGACCTCAAGGAACTTTATCCCTGGCATTTTTCTCGGCAATATAGGTTAGCAGTGGAGAAGCACCAGTGTTTCGTTTAATGTTATTAATTATGCTTTTTATACGTCTAAAAATTGTCTACGAGAGAAAGAATTTTCCTTATAAACATATGTGCTGTTATCTTAAATACGGTAAAGCAATAGTATTCCTCTGAAGTCAAAATATTGCAAGCAATTGTATTTATGAGGTTCAGTATTTACCAATTTGTTAGCGGACCATCTTGTCCCTGTTTGTTATTTTACCGTTAATTTCGCCTATTCAATGAACCAGCTTAGGTTTTCTGGTTGACGAGAAACGAAATGAGCCGTTTGAGACGTTATTTATCGTGGCAGAAACTGCTAGCTGCACGAACGCCGCGGTATTTATGGTCAATTCGGTTTCCGAATTTTTTATATCCTTCTCGTTGAACTAAAAGAGCCACGCGGCTAACTTGGCCCTTGTATCCGGTCCGAAAGAGCACTTTGAGGTGGCTCATACAGAATATCCGTTCTCGCGTACTGTCGTGTACTGTCAAAGAGAAAAAGAGACCCGGAAAGAGTGATCTGTGTGGCTAGTGCAAGCGTGACAAAGACGGTATATAGGAAAAGCGAATGTAAAGGGAAAGAGAGAGGTCGAGGAAGGAGAAAAGGTTCGATGGACGATTACAACCTGGCTATTAGTATGAAAGGAAGGGAGTCAATCAAGATTTGAAGGGGAAGAATATTTCGATCAGGATGAACGAATTTAAACTGTTGTGTAAAAGCGGTGCGTATACAATGTGCACGTGTGGGCGAATATTGCCAGAGAAAGATAGGAAACTGAAGAGAGGTCACTGGGTATAGATCGATGTGAATATTTTCCAGACGGTCTCCTCTTGGAGGATTGACCGAAATAACCGGGCACCGTACTTTACGGCTTTGTGCACCAGATGATACCAGAGACGACATTTATATCTCTGGCGATAACCTTTCGCTCTGCTTTCTTGCTTTGATCGGTACTGCGTCCTTTTGCTTGTCTTTCGAATACGTCCTATCCCTTAGCTTTGTTTCTCGTCTTCGCCCACCTATTTCTTCGTAAGTACTAGGAAACCTGCTGGTCTCGTACAAAACACGATGATTTACGTGGATTGTCAAGGAAACGATTAATCGATTTGAAATACGTAGAAATATTAGTAAAACTTATTTGTAAAAGTTTCAGGGAAATAACAAATTAATGAGTATACTGACGCTTACAATTTGTACACCCTGTACATACGTATGTACGCCCGTCACGATAGGAACATGGACAACAACAATAATACGTCGCGTTGATTCGATGGAAATCATTTTTGTCGCAACAAATTCTCCTTATAAATGTTTTTATACGCCCATTTTACTTGAAACACAGGACTATTATTCCTGGTCCATGGTTCTCGCTATTCTAGAGAGGCTCTGGGCATCATTCTTCAAACATGTCACCCAGTGCTCGCACGTAATTTGGTAATTTCCTCTTTCGTAAATGGACCCTTCACTAGGATGTGCTGCTTTGTCGAATTGCTCCTTGAGGTAAACGTTCGCTCGATATTCGCTTGTAATTGCATTCGCTTCATTTTTAAGAACATTCATATGTTAAATATTCTTTATTATTGCGTACAACAAATTAAGATTAGAGGGAAAAAGTATGATCAATGCTACTCTACTGATCTTTTGGTTTTGGTGTTATTCGGTGATTAAAAGTTTTTTTCGAATATAAAACAGGAACAACCTATTCGATCTAAAGATATGCTCCTATTAACAGATAACAATCGCACGGAGCTTTGTGAACAAGTTAATGACACATCTAGTGTTTACAATACGATAATCCATACTTTCGAAATCAGTATCTATCTCAAGGAGGATTGAGTTGAATATTTTTAGTATAAATACCCCTCAAGAGAAACCCATAATCAGATCTAATGAAAAGACAATTTTGATATTCAAATCATTGGATTTTAAAATTGTTTTCATATGTAAAAGCAGAAATATGATGTATCGTGTCCTTTGCCTGTGATCTTCATATAAGAGAAATTTGATAAGTTACAACCAGTGTTCCTTCCTTTCCATTCTTCTGCTTTGTTGTAATTTCACATTCTATCTAGAGATTTTCTCTAAGTTGAACTTTTACTCAATATACCCACGAGGAGATCGTTTATCTGGTTTATAACAAAAACTGGACACGTTCATCGTGATTTAAAGAGAATACCTTTGAATCGAACATTGTTCGACATTGTACGTCGTTTTTATCGTCGAGAGATTCGCTCGTTTCTCTTTCTGTTTTGTCATCGTTTAAGCTTTCGTATTGCAAAAGGAAATCGAACCAGCATTCGCACACGTTGAAACGCACGGAAGTTATTTGTATTCCGGAATAGTTTGAAATATTATATCTCTGCAATAACGATACGTTGCTCGAAACAATTCAATAATTACTTATTCCATAAAGAAAATTATTTAAACACAGTGATAAAGCATTTTTTATAAACTTAAGAAATAATACGTTTTAAACATTTCGTTTCTATACCTTATTATAATTAGTAGCTATTTATCGAGTATATACATATCTACTTATAATAAATAATGATGATTTAAATTACAAAATAGTCGCCGTGTAACTAGAGAACGTATATCTATGCAAATTCGTATTTTTGTGAGCAGAACTTAAAAAATCAAACTTCAGCAAACATTTGTTTCATCCACTAAATATTATAACTACTAGTATACTTTGGTTATTTTTTATATATACATGCATATTATTTAAATTTTGCGTATTTTTGTAGCTCTTCAATTTCCATACAAATGCACAAACATCTGTACAAAGATCCTCGGTGCTCATTCACATTAATGTGATCACGTTGCAATATTCTACCAACGATCGTAACGCTAATTCGTTACAACACAAAATGCCGATCGTAGGTTGCACAGCTATTATAAAAGTTTCGACTCGTAAAAGAGCTCCAAGAATACTGATTTAAAACGAACATCTCGAATGGTTAGCTCGATTCTCAGAATCAATGCGAGCTGCCCGAAATTCCTTCGACCGTGTACAATTATTCCATTCATCCGTCTAGAATTTCTCAATTATTCTTCATTATCGAGGATACGCTCGGATTCGGAAAAGGAATAAGACCGAAAGTAAAAAAAAAAAAAAAGAAAGAAGAGAAAATTATAGATAAAGGTTTTTCTACTTGATTTTTGCCCCCTACCCGTTTCTCGCTGGCTGATTCTCACTCTCGTCCGGTCCGGTTGACTCGCGTCCTATTTCGGTTACAGATTTTTCCCTCCTTTCATTTTTGCTCGGCATTTTCCTCTACGAGATGATCGAGGCCATGGCAAAAGCCGAGCACCGCCGCCTATAGGTCGATCGATATCAGGAATATACGCGAAGCGCTTTAACGTAGGTTAACCGCAGATGAAAGCAGAACTGGCTGGACGACGACGCCGCGGCGTCCGCGCGGACTCAAATCACGTATTGGCTCTCCAATACGGTTTCAGCCTTGTACTTTCCAAAAGGTGTGCCCACATCCCGTCCAAATTCTAATTAGTGACCACGAGTGCTTTCAGTGGAGCGAACTGTACGTCTGATCTCTCTGATCTGTCCCTTAACTTGTTAGAAAGCTGAAACACCTAGGAACTTATTGGTGGCCGACAAGTTTTCCATGTCAAAGGTGCTTTTTATGAGCTAGCACGTTATTATCGTTCATGGAAATTCATCAGTTTGCATGGTTTTGTTGTTCCTGTTTGAGGAGTATGACAAAGATAAATATAGCTATCCTCTTGAAATAACGTAAAGATAATTTCAAGAAAGTGAGTAGGATTGAACGAAAAGTATAATTATATTCAGATTGCGGCTGTTCGTGAAGATGTATATTTTTATACAAATATTACAGATTCGTTTTATCTTTCAAGTATTATAATGTACATGCAAAACTTTAGATATTTTGTATATCTAATTATTTCTAATTAAATGTTCTTCCATCCTTAGAAAAGATCTCAAGCGTGAGCAAAATTCAAAAGAATTTCCATGATTTTTTCAAATGTTGAAGGTCTTTTCTTTTATCGAAATGAGAAGAAAATTACTCAAGTTTGAGTAAAAGAGAAAGAATTCTTACCTGTACGATTTCCCGTCTTAATCTTGTGTTTAAAGACTTTTTGAAACGTTAAGAGTCTTTTCGTTGGTTGAAACGAGAATAAGGCTGAGGTATAAAAATTCGAGGGCCATAAATGGGTTAAATTTTCCATAAATACATAAACATAGGGAATTTCTTCAATTGT